ACTTTCATGGTGGGTGAATGCCAAGGATTTCAAGGCCTCTAGCTATCATCAGTGCAGTAGTGTCTTTTCTGCAAAGACCTAAGGGCTATGAAGAGCTGGAGGTGCATGTATTCAAATGTACTGTTCAAACTCACTCTTTTTTAAGATGCTGGTGTGAATTTTGGAGGCTTTTTGAATTTTAATAGTTGGTTTGGTGGGTTTTATTTCAGCTCCTTATTCCAAGGTAAAGATATCCTGTGTATTAGGGCAAGTAGCACATTTTTGCACTAATCTCACCAGTTCTCTTCTGATGTAATGCTACACCTCAGGTCTTCTGGTCATGGATCTCAGAAGCACCCCCCTGCTTTGCCAATAAATAATTCCAACAGGCTGTGAAGAGTTTCCCTGAAGGAGGAGAGACTGAATGACTTCTGTCAGGATTATTAAGCAATGGTCTTTGGAGGAAGTTGTCAGATAGGGCAAGAGAACATCCAGCTGTGATCATCACATATCATGGCAGTGAGTTCTGCATCGTTTAAGGTTTCTGGAGGTGAAATTCATGAATTTTACAGTTATGTTTCAGGTTGTATGTAATATCTGTTTCAGGGAGACTGTTTTACAGATCCTAATTTTATAAAATTCTTGAAACATGCCATTGATGTCTTGCCTGTATGGCGGCTGCTGTTTTTTGATCTTTGTTCTCCAACTTATTATTACAAGGTATTATAAATATCTTGTATGTTAATTGTACATTGGGTTTTTTTTTCCCATTTTTTCAGCTAGTGAAAGAGATATGTTGAAGTGTGTGATGTACTGTATGTTTTCTAGGTTTACTTGTGTGTATGTACCGATCTGTTGCTCAAATTCTCAAAATCTGTTGCTTTTGCCTTATGCAGATCCATTTTGAGACATCCCCTCTTTATCCAATGGCTTTAAAAAACCAAATTAAAAGACCGAAAAGACAGACTGAAATTTTGTTCCTGGACAAGCATCAGAAATGAATTATGCTTAGCTCCAGTGAATAACCAGAGTTAATGTAGAGTTCAAATTCACCATTAATGTGGTGCCTTTCTTTTCTAGACCATGCAGGTGTGATTTTTCCTGTGAAACTCCTTTTAAATTCTTTACTGCAGTAAGTATTGCTTTGAGGGGGAAAGTGTTTTTCAGCATTTCAGTGTATTTGCTGCATGACTGATGCAGCCTGATACGACTTATCACAACATGACTTGTCATCAGAAAAAGGCTGAGAAAACAAAAATGAGTTCCTGGAAGCTAATGCTGAGAAAATAAGTGCTAAGGGTAGAGCAAGAAAAAATGAATGCTTTTAAAAATGGCTTCTCTTTTCTTCTCTTGTACTCTTTCCACATAAAGAAGAAATGGCTAGCTAATAGAAACTTGTCAAGTACTAAGCTTTTAGATCAGATCTTGGATTTAGAGGTTGTTTTCTAGTTATCAGACAAAGGAAAATAAAGGATATTATTTTCATTCTTTTTTTTGGAGGGGGAGAGAAGGGGTCAGGCATTAAATAGAGGAAAGAAAAGCTGATAATGAGCAAAATAACTGTGAAGGTTGTAGATTTTAAATGTTATTGCATCTTTAGTGATCATGATCAGTAGTTGGAAGGTTGAAAACATGTATTTTCAGTCGCCTAATGTCTCATTGTTTTTAAGTATGAAATTTTTATTCCTTTTTTTGTAATTAATTTTGTAAGTTTCTGTTATTACAGACATCGTTTTTCAGCTAAAGAACTTTGTGGAAGTCAAAAGTAGAGCACAATTCAGAATATTCTTTATGGTGAAGTATTTAGTGAATTTCTACATATTTAACAGCGTGAATACACTGAGGAGCAAAATCATTTTACTGAAGTTGTACTGCTAAGCTCTTGTATGGCAAGATAAGAAGATAGTGATTAAACCATTGTTAAATGCTGTCTGTAGTGAATTGAATTCTGTATTTAACTTAGTAAGAGTGAGTTTGTCTGAATGGTAGTTATACCAAAAACAAATTTGAAGCATTTTTGAAGTTATTTCAAGGCCTCTGAGTGTTTAATGAGAGAAAATCTAGTGCAGCCACAACCTATCACACCTGTTTTTATGTTTCAAAACATAGTCTGTGCACACGTCCCAGGTATTCAATATAATTTTTGCTGGCTTTCTGCCATTTGTGTCACACACAAGGCAGGATTCTGATGCAAGGGACCACTAATGGAAACTGCTATGTATTGGCATAACTTCAAAATGAGCGCTAAATTATTTTAGCCAGCTACTTTCAGTTCAGGATGGCTGAGAGAGTATGAGTAAAGACAGGAGTCTAAGGCTACCAGAAAATTGCTGGAAATGAGACCTAAAGAGATGCAGCATGAATTTAGTAACCAACATTTATATGTTAGCTGTATTTTGTGCATCATGCAGTTGAATGCATAATGTTTCTTTTCCTTCAAAGAGCCAGTGGGCACAGAGGACAAATGGGGTGGGGGCGGGTTGGTCCACCTAACTTACAAAGGTCCAGTCACAATCATTATGTTATTGTATTAACTTTTGTTGTCATTGGATTCTGAGAAATGTGAAGATTTGAAATGGAATTTTCTCAGTTTTGGGTTTTTTCAAAGATTCATGTGCTTGAACCTTATTGGAATCACTCTAAATAGAGAAAATAATTTTATTCTGTATCACTCACCAGCATTTTCTAATTATTTATTTTACTGTAGTCTACAATATTTTATTTCTTAGTTGCTATTCAAATATAGAAGAAGAACAGCAGGAAACTTAAGACACAGTTTAGCAAAAAAGCCTGTGTTAAAATTATTTTCAGTTCAGTTTCCTTTCTGTGCTGGAATTTATATGTTATTTTCTAGTTAAGGGAACGAAAATAAATTGGCTTAATAGTGTTTGGTAATCCTTTCTGAATTAATTCAAAGTGACTTAATTTATCAAAAAGTATGTGAGTCATTAGGAAAAATTTAAAGGTTGCCTGTTTCAATGGATGTTCTTCTTTTTCTCTTTTGTTTGTGAAATTTGCCAGCTGCCTACTAATTTCTAAGGCATTCTAGTGTATCACTGGTTAATAATTGCCTTGAAACTTTCAATAAATTCAGAGTTATTCGGGATAAATCCCAGACTGATAGTACCAATGTGTCCTTTCACTTACGTAGTTCAACCGCTGTATGTCAGCTCTAGAAATCTTATTAAACCTTAAAAATAAAATACATTGCATTTGGGCTAATGTTTAGTTGGTGTTCTGTAAATGACATGGAAAAAGTACCTAACTCAAATTTAGGTATGTCGTGGTTTTAAACCAATAACTAAGAAAATTACTTACTTCTTGCTGTGAGATATGGATTAGAACAAGAGCAAATCAGGCATACAACTTAAAAGGGAAAAAAAGAAAGTTTATTGACAAACCACAATAATAAGAACACCAGAATAAACTTCCAGAAAAAACCTTTCTATCCCCTATCTACCCACTATTCCCTTGTTCACATGACAACAGAGACAAAAACTCTGGAACTCTGATGGTTAAAACAGTCCCAATTCTTGCTAGTCTTTTCACCAGTCTTTATAGAGAAACAGAAGTTTCTTCCTGTTAATTTATGGAGTTTCTCACAAGTAAACTATTTTTGTTATAGTTTTCTATTGCCCTAATGTTAGCTGCCCAGAGCTGCTGTTATTAGAGCTCACTCCTCCCATTTTCACATCACTCTGAAGTGTGTATGGGCCATGAGTCTAGAGATAGCATTTTTAAGGATAAGTTATTCAAAGGCAAAAAAAGTCTTCTTCATCTGTTTCTGTGAGCTTCACCAGAAAACAGTTTTCTCATGGCCTCTCAGGGCTTCAAATCTCCCAACAGTTTTCTCATTGCCTCTCAAGGCTTTTAATCTCCCAGCACCTCACTATACTATAATTACTCTTTACTCAAATTTACACTTTGAACACTATTCCTCTCTAGATCCTATATCATGAATTAAAGGAGTTCTTTTCAGGACTTCATTGTCCATCTCCATAGTTTTAACAGGGAGATATTTCAGCTTAATTAAAGCATCTTCTTAATTCTCTACCTTTCCTGAAGCTTCTTTTCTTTCCTGTCACTGGTAGTTTATAAAGTCTCTTTTCATGTTGATCTCTCTCTCTCTCTCTCTCTCTGGATAAAAAGATTAATCCGCAAGTTTTATCTGGGTAATGAAAGAGTTAACATCTTGCCCAGGCTTTTGTAGATGGTTCTGTGATCTCTGCTGAACAGGAGCTGGAGCCGTCTGCGATGGAAGGTTCTTCATAGCTGCTCTGGAGAGTGTAGTCGCTGCTCCAACCTGCTGCAAGTCCAGGGCCTCTCTCTTTCTTCACTGGGCCGTTTCTAGTGAATTAGTTACAGCAAAACCTGCAGCCGAGCCAGAGATCGGCCCGGCCCGGGCCCGAGGAAAACCTTCCCCAGGCCCCCCCATCTCCCGGCCGGGAGACGGGGCAGGCCCGGCCCCATCCCCGCCCGGCCGCATGGCCTGGGCAGGGAACGGGAGGCCTGGAGCTCCGCCACCCTTCACAGCCAGGAAACAAAGAGAGAGCTCAGAGAGCTCTGCTTTTACATTTTTAAGGTAGGGTTCACAAGTTGATCCCACTTTTCAATGGCCTAAACTGCTGTCAATTCTCAGCAATGACTGATAATTGGTCAGGAGAAAAGACTCCAAGCACTTCCCAGCAACTCCAACTCCCTTAAAGGTAAAGTAACTCCATGACAAGGTATAAGTTAATTTGCATTGGGAAGATGAAAAAAAATGTTTTCTGATGTAATTTGGGCTAATTTGTTCATTGAGACTCCCAGCATTTGTATTTCCAGCATTGCAGTAGAGGTTTTTTGTTGTTTTTTGGGGGTTTTTTTTTGGTTTTTTTGTTTGTTTTTTTGCAGCTGGAAGATGTTTTCTTTTGGCTGTGTTGCTGTTCTCTAGTTGGCAGCTGAGAATGTTCAGGTGGTTACTCTTCACCCTTATGAACATATTCCTTTGTGAGCTCTCTGTGACTTCTCAGCATGGCTGTAGCCATCTTCATTTGGTTCTGTGAAGTAAGCACCACCACCAAGTCAAGCCAGTGCCTCATGCAGACAAATATCACTAAGAACCCTATGAAAAAACAATGAACCTATAAAAATGTGTCAGCTAGAAATATTTATTTTTTTCAGGTACTTTTAAGTGTGATTGTTCTTTCTCAGATTTTGTCTCTGTGCAGGATATGTGTGTGGGAAATGCTTCCCCCCACCCTGCCCCAGGGGTTTCATCTAGCTTGAGGCAGGGATAGAAAAAGAAAGGGGATATGGAAGAGCATGGCTGAAATACGAACACAGCTTTGAAAACAACTTCAGTGGTTTTAATTATCCAAGTGTTTTGGCAGAGGTAAGCCTCACTTTCCTTGTCTAGACTTTATATGTCTTATTGTATGAGTGGCATCTTGTTTCTGCTATTACCCTTCCTCCCATTTTCCTTGAAATTGATAAGAAATGTTTGTTCAGGAAATACTTTTCAGCTTTCTGGAGTGGTTTGACAATTTTTATGTTGTAATAAGTAGTGTTTGAATGCTTAGTTTAGGAACCATCTGTAAGCATATAATTTATTGTCAGATGTAGATAAATACTCATAGAAACCCGGCTTATTTATTTAAACAACCATCTTAGGCTCATCACTGCCTTTTTTCATCACTGCATGTCAGTTGGGCAGTTTGGAAAATGTAAGATCTTTTGCAAGTCCTTAAGCAAGTTATTGACTGTAACTTTTTTTTTTTCTTTTTTTTTTTTAATGTGACTGGCAGCCCCGAGTAGCTGTGATTCTATCATCTTTTCTTTATGGGGTTGGTGAATTCCACCTCTGTTTATCGTACTATTTGTTGAAGTGATTTAGTCCAATCCATTTCATGTTTCTGTAGTAAGATTATGGGAACCTACTGGTGATTGTTGTGTTTCCTTTTCCTGGCAAAATGTCATTATTTTTTCCTATGCTAATTTTCACTTAAATACATTAAAAATGGATGTCTGAAAAATTCTCTAGTTCTGTAGTACTCAATAAAAGTCTTAAATTATTGTGATAATTAAAAACATTTATCTTGAGACAGAGATCCTTATGCAAATGTCTTTAGCCCTCCAGAGCAAGATTTCCAAACTTGCAGCATACAGAATGAATAGTGAGGTATAAAGAAAGAGTGCTATTTGAGAGGATGAGGAAAAGGAATCAGTTTGGAACACTTGGTGTAATCCACAAAGGCAAAATTGCTGTCTTCCACAGAGCACTGAATATGAATCCTGGCTGTTTTACTGCCCTCCTGGTGGGATTTGCTGAGGCAGGCAGCTGTACAGTGTACTTCTTTTGCATCCCCCATGCGCTGTCTGAGCTTAACTGGCAAACTGATGAACACAATCTGATGTTCATAAAAACAGTATCAGGTTTCTTTAGGAATTCAGTTGTTCCGTCTGTGGTGCTGTCCACTATGAGAGGTGATGATGTTGGGTCAGGATGCTGTTCCTCAGGCTGTCCTCTGTCTCTTACCTGCCTGGCCTGGCAGGGCTCTTCAACAGCCCCTGTTCAGTTTGTTCATCTGGAAGGGGTGCAATGACACACCCAATTTGCAGGGAGTTGCACAGGGGGCTTTCTGCACGAATTTCTCACTTGCAAGTCAATGAGCAGGCAGACCTTGCACTACGTATTTCCAGGCAGCTCTTTGGGTCTCCTGATTTGCATCCAGAGTTCTCAATGCAACTGGAAGTGTTAAAGTTTTGCATCCTCATAGGGTAAGTGGTTTGGGCAAAAATACTCTAGACGTTACAAAACAAGCAGAAAAGGAGGTTCTGCTTAGCTTTCCATGTGCTCCCCAGGCCAGCCAGAGCACTTTGGAGAGAGTTGTTGTTCTTCACAAAGCTTCTGGAATCCCCAGTTTTCTGCTCAGCAATGAATAGTGTGCTGTGTTACCATTCATGGAGTGCTGTTTTTGGTGGTGTGGTTTGTTGGGGTTTCTTTTCAGGTTCTTTTAGTAATTTATAAAGTGGAATGACTTCATCTGGAATCTTTGTAATTCCTGATTTCTTAATTCATATGTTAAAGAGAATGTGTGAGGATGATGGTGAGGGAAAATTTGTTTAGACATATATCTATCATTTAGAAGTATGATTAGAGGCAGGTTAGCAGTTAGGAACTGAAGGGCTTCTGTCTGTGCAGCCAGTGTGTGTATTTACTATTTAATCTTTTCACAGAGTACTGCAGATGTTCAGTGCTTGATTTAGAAGGTTAGGGATGGAAAAGATAGCAGCCATAACTAAAAAAGATTTATTTTCTGAACACAGTTTTTTCTTCTTCATTCCTTCCATTGATCTTATGTCAGGGATGCTGACTACCTTCAGTGTAATGTTAAGTAAAATGGATGAATCTTTCAGATGTTCACTGTTTCTTAAAGTTGCTAAGTGTGATTTTCCTTCCTCCCTTTTAATCTTATATGGTTTTAGTTTTTATAGTATTAGTGGTTGTTTCTATGATAGAAATATTCAGAGTAATTTTTGAGAATTATTTTTTCTTAGGTTAATAAGTATCTTAGGGATGTTCCGGACTATTTGACCAAAGATACATAGGAAAAAATGGTATTTTAGTGACTGAATACATGGCTTTGTTCTGGGGTATTTTTTTTAAGGTTTTGAAAACATGACATGACTTACAGTGAGTTGCCTTTATATCATTGTAATTTTCATCTTCCTTAAAAGAACCTTTTTTTTCTTAAAAATGAACAAGATAAACTTACTCTTCTCATTTCAGAGAATCCGCTTTACCTTAATTAGGCTTAAAGTGGCATAAAACTAGGCAACCCAGATAAAAAAACCTTTAACTCATTTCTTTTCTCTTTGTTGGCCATGAAAAATAAAAATACTTATTTGCCTTAAACATTTAAGTTTGAAGAGCTTCATCTGTGCAGTGAATAACTAAACTGTTATAGTATGGGTCAATATTATCTAAATCTCACAAATATTTAGAATACAGAAGTTTTCTTCATCATTCTTTGCTCCTTATTTTAAGATTTTATTATAAATAACTATTCCATTAAAAATACTCCACAATTTCAATTTGATATCTTGTAAATAAAATAAATGAGGTGAAATTTGATACGCCCTAATTATTTGGGAAGGAAGACAGTAGGGGTGTCCAACCTGGTAGCTTATTAAATCATAAATTGTAACAATTTCAGGACTGGATAATTAACATATTGGTAGAGAAAAAAATCTTCTGCCAATTAGTTAACTGTCAGCATATATGTTAATTCGAGTCTAAAGCCATGATGAAGGCCCTACTTCAATAGGGAGCTTGGAACAGATGAGCCACTGTGATCCCTTCCAACCTTACCCATCCTCTGACTTGCAAAATAATTTCAATTATGTTCAGGGTTTGTTTGAGACTCATAATGGAGATCCAGTCTTACAGATAGATTCCAGTACTTACTCCTCTTCTTCCTCAGCAGGTGTACTTGGGAATTAATTTCATGATTATTTCTTACAATATATGTCTCAGCATATTGTATTCTTTGGAAAAGATCTGTAAACGCAGACACTGCTTGTGTGAAAAGAAGAATATCAAGCCTTTTTGATGAAGTATACAGTCCCATTTGTTTTTTATAGGGCAAGACAGTGGGAAGCTTGGCAAACAAGCGTAACTTAATTTGCTTTCAAAGATGTGAATGCCTCTTGAAGTGTAAGGACCCACTCTGTTGCAGATCTAAAATTATATTACATATTTTATATGCAAAGCTGACAAAACAGAATTGCTCCTTGCTAAGTGCCATTTCGTTGATATGAAAATTATTTAATTTTTTTTTTTTTGTGGGTTTTTTGGTTAGGTTTAAGCTCAGATTAAATATTTTAGACCTCATAGTCCTGTTCTCTGATGGGTCTCTGTATTATTTTTTTATCTTAATAAAAAAGAGATTTATTTGAAAATAAATATTTTATCTTACGATAAAAACAAAGGGAAGTGACAAAGTTACTGGAGAACTTGTTCCACGTTCCAGTATATGACTTCTTTGTTTATAATTTTCCTTTAACTCTCACATCACTTGTCATACACAGATTTAAGCTAACAGAGCTTGTTTTCCTCAAGATTATTTCCTTTATACCTTTTTTGATATGCTGAGGCAGATATCTGAATGGATTACCCATGCCACAGCTTGAGCATGAGATTGATTTAGGGATGGAAAGTGGGTCATGTCAGTCTTGCCTGAAAAATACAGTAAAGATTTAGATGACCTGCTTTACCCAATGGTTCAATTGTGATTTACTAAAACAATCCTTAATATAGGTACTATGTAACTTTAACCCTCCTCTAAATGATACCTTTGCCAAGGCAAATATCAATTTAGAGAACATTAATATATCCCCTCCCAGTTTACTGAACTGCAAATCAGGTACCATCACATCTTGGAGAGACTTTATTAGTTCAGTGGCTTCTATTCTATATGTATATATGTGGAAAAAGAGGTTCCTGCCGACTAGCAAATATATGTGCATCTGGGACAGCTGTGGTGGCACACAAGTGCACCAGTGACATAGGGCAGCATGGCAGATAGACTTACAGCTGTAGATTTCAGAGCAGACATTCCTTATTTTCTCCAGTAGTACAGTTCCTAAATGCTACCATTAATCACTTTTCCATATTTAATCTAAGTGCAGTAAAGTGTGGATTGCATTCATTACTTAAAACTTGTCATAAACCTATGAATAGTAATCATGAATCCTCAGTGAAGAGACTATAATGTGTATGTAATATATAGTTAGTGTAATTATTCCATATTAGTATAATTGCTCCATGTATGTAGACATGGTATTGCCTTATAAATGAATTAGTACAGCTCTGCAAGACTTGTCTCAGAGATGTGATATGAAAATCACCCCAGTCAGATAGATGCTTGCCTTGTGTTAACCAATAACACATTTTAGGTTTGTATAAAATCATCTCCATAATGTTTATTCTGGTCAAATCATTGTATCACATCACTTGACTAAATATGTAGACATATGTGTGAGGCACTAAGTCCTGTCTGTCATAGCTATACTTCTACACCTTGTAAGTTTCCTTGAGTGGTCAAAAGGAACTCATGTAAATAATACGTTAGTATTTATAATAAGGCATAAAACTAAGTTGACTGTGCCCTAGCAAAATCCCTAAAGCCCACCAGGAAAAGGAGACTGTGTTTGTGCATCTTATGGGCTAGATACCAGAATGTGAGGTTCAAAGTAATATCAAAGTAATTAAAATAGAAACCAAAAGGTGCTAATTCTCACTAGTGTGAGAACACATTGCATGAGTATTAACCTTCGTCTTCTCAAGAGCTGAATTAGTCATGGAATTTCTCTCCTGCAGGTTCATTCAAA